TTTTTTCGAATAGTAGTTTCTAAATGTTTTTTTTTAAATATTTATTGTGTTTAATTTTTGTTATTTCTACTTGTACAGCACTTTGGGGCAGTAGTGACTGTTTGTAAATGTGCTTATAATAAACTTTTTACCTTAAATATTAATTTATCGTTATTATTAGCAGTAATAGCAATAATTATTATTGATTGATATTATTTAGTGCTGTCAAATCGATTAATCGCAAAAAACCACATGTAACATAAAAGTTTGTAAATATATATTTACTAGGGCTGTGCAACGATTAGTTGCGATTAATCTCATCCAAAATAAAAGTTTGTGTTTACATAATATGTGTGTACTGTGTATAATTATTTTGTATATAAAAATTCAGACACATGCATGTATATATTTAAGAAAAATGTGTTATTAATATATAAAATATTTATATTTAATATAAATTATGTATAGTATATTCATGCAAATATTTCTTAAATATATACTACATGCATGTGTGTGTATTTATATATGAGAAATAATATATTATGTACACACAAACTTTTATTTTAATTGCGATTAACCGTTGCCCAGCCCTAATATTTACACACACACACATATATATATATATATATATATATATAACACATATATGTGGTATGTATTTATATATATATTTTTTTTTTTACAAAACATTAAGTTTGATGCAAGTAATTACGATTAATCGTTAAAATTAAGCACTAGTATTATTTCAACCGAAACCTTTTATTTATTTTTTAGAAATTAGATTGCATTTTCCTAAATGAAAAGTGATTTTATTGCACACAAGGAACAAAACAGACTCCCCGAGGAATACGTCTGCTTCACGGCTACTCTCTGTATTGTGTGACAGATTCAGTTCAGGATTTGAATACAAAGGCTTGTTATTTCTCCTCAGGCCTCATTAGAGTGTATGGGCTTGAATTCTGCAGATGTAGAGAAAGCGGACATCAGCTATGATCAATACTCATCCAGGTTTCTCTTCTGCTTCAGAATTCACTTGGAAAACACAGCTGTCAGCACCACGGCCAGACGATCAATAACATAATCTTCTCAAAGCCAGAGCACTGTTGTAAACTCATCGGCTAGAGGGTCTTCCTTTATACTCGTCAATTTAAAATAACTGTTTTCTCTTTGAATTTATTTTAAAATGTAATATATTCCTGTCCTGTGATGGCAAAGCTGAATTTTCAGCATAATCGCTCCAGCCTTCAGTCACATGATCCTTCAGAAATCATCCTAAAATACTTATTTGGTGCTGCAAGAAACATTTCTTACTATTACAAAGTTGTGCTGTTTAACTGCTCTTTTCAGAAACCATGATACATTGATTAATTAAAAAATGTGGCCTTTTCTCATCAAAATGGCTATGACTGTGTGCTGACTAGTCAAATAAGGCATAATTCTGCCCTCTAGGGGTTATCAAGTGCCACTGCTGCTGACTGATATGAACCATTTAGATACCCAAATTACCCTCAAAACGAGCCATTTCCCCCATATATCAGTTTCATTTTACACTGAGTGCCATTGCTGGTGAAATGAGGACACGTGACACACTGGAAGTTTCTATGAGGGAAAAGAGCGTTGTTTTTGTTGTTTTTTTGAGGAATCAGTAAAAACAAATTTCATATACAGCACAAGTACTGAAAGAGCATTTAGATCACATGTGTGTTCTGCACTCCTGTTTGACATCTAGCACAGATCTAGAATCCCTTTTGTAAACTCTGCTAGTACCTTAGAGTGATTTCTAAATCATATACTTACAATTCTGTAAATATATACTGTACATACATAATATTAATATAGAAATATGGTTATCTAATGCCCATTTTAAGCAGCACTTTTTTGCACAATGATAAATGTAAAGAAAGTTAGGAAACAATTAATTCTTGGTTCCTTCTTTGTTTTGGAAGGAGACACAGTGCTAATTTACCATATACATCAAGTCAGTAAACACAGTCTGGCACAGAGCCATGAATATTCAGCAAAGAGATGCTTTAGATTTGTAAAAACAGACAGCAGAGGTATGACTTACTGTACACATCAAAACGGGAGCTTTAGTCCTCAGTGATGGGCCTTGTCATGTTTTCGTTTGACACCAAAAGCAAGGGTTCTTTTCATGCCATATATAAACATATATATATATATATATATATATATATATATATATATATGAAGAGTTCAGATGCAAAAGCCTCTAAATGCCATTTGAAATTTTCTTCTTGAATGATGATTTTTATCAAACTTGTATATTTAAGTTCAGTAATTTCACTTAAATAACAATTAATAGGCAATCATCATTGCCATTTAAGTGAAATCACTGAACTTAAATATACAAGCTTGATAAAAATGATCATTCTAGAAGAAAATTTCAAATGGCATTTAGAGGCTTTTGCATCTGAACTCTTCATATATATATAAAGGCATTTTAGCTAACAATATTCCAAGCCTATTGTGTTTCATCAATATCTCATAATCATTTTTCAGATCTAGATCTCAGTTTATATTCATTCCCTGACACAAGGAACTTTTATTTTCTTACTTAATTGAATGCAAGTACTAACAAAAGACCAATATTGTGAAATTGCAGTCTCAAAGAAGGGAGATCAATCATGATGAGATCATTCATTCTGGTTTTTCGGGCGGATAAACACCTCCAATGGTCCTAACATGACAAGAAATAATCACAACAGTGAGAGCCACTAACAGAGCACTGCTCTGAAAGGCAGCCGTAATAAACCTTTGTCAGGTTAGAAGCCATATTAAATTGAATGCATGTGAAAACGAGGTTGTGAGGGATCGATTTACAGTCTTTACATGTGCACGCACTGTCTTAAGGTATTAGATCAAGACATTTCGTCAGCCGAACAATCAGATTGATATTAAAGAACAGTATAATTCATTGAACTCACTGTAGTTCTATCCTTCGCAGACAAAAATTAAATATGGCACTTATTTGACTGAGGTCTATGGGGTTGCAATTTCAAAATGGGTGTGCAATCACTTCCAGGACATCCCGTATAGTGCGCTAAGTGTTAATGCTTCTGCTTCATCCTGTTCACTTTAACAGCTTAAGGTGCACTGGTATGGTCAAAGATTGCAGGTCATATATTGGTTAGTAAAAGGTTAGAGCAATGACGTAATATGAGAGCTGATCTCAAGTGTTGGTTAAAAAAAAAAAAGACATTAATGCCTCCTGAATTCAAGAAATTATTCACGGACAGGAATTAAAGAACTTTAAACATCAAAGCAGCCTGTGACAACGTAGTAACACTTTAAAATATGGTTGTTCAATAGTTAACCTTATTGTAAAGTGTTACCCAAGAAATTTCAACCAACAACGTCAAACATTTTGGTTTCCCATAACCAAACTATAACAGCAATAATACTGAATTCAATTTCAATTTTTTCCCCTACATTTTAAAATATGGCAAGGAGCTGTCAGACTTTAAAATAGGTGCATTTCAGTTCAGCTACATACTTGTAGGGAAATTAATTTGGTTTGTTAGTTGAATCTAAACTGAAATGTGTGATTAATTTGAGGCTGATATGGAGTTTAGGGTTCCTCCTGAGACACTAAAATCACATTGGCAAAAACCCTGAAGTGCTTATAATTTATCTTCAGGAATGGAAACAAAACGTAAAAAGGCATGTATTGGTAAGCATATATATATATATATAAAAAAAAATCACTAAAATATGAATTAGTTAAATACCATTTCATTAGAAAACAGAAACTGAACACTTTATGCAATGTATATGTTATGAAAGAAGAAATCTACAATAACAAACCATTCAATACAGAACTTTAAAAAGGCTGGTAAAGGAAGATAGAGATGGAATGTGTTTGTGTTGTCTAGATGGACTGCTGAAATGCTTCAATTAAATATACGGTCAATAAATCAATTAATTCCAGGGTGGCGGACAACAAAAGTAAACAATCTCAGAGGAACCGCCAGGAAGAATTTGTAAATATCAAATCGTGTTTTTTGGAATCAGTGTTTCTGCTTTTCACATTCATCCCTTTTTTAAAAGCTACTTAAGAACTTGTTGATCATAAACCGCAATGTTAAGGAATGCGAAATATCATGTTTACGTTGCTCAATCTATTTTGGGAGCACGCGCCTTCTTTAAATCCATGCACACACACTCTCTCTAACACATACACACATGAGACGATTAGCTGACATGGTTAGGTTTAGTTGCTGTCCTCTTTAGCTTGAGAGAGTGCTTTCTCTGAGCTTGCCGAGCCCTCGAAGCGCTGGGAGGCGATGGCGGCCTGATGGGACATGCTCTTCCTCACAATGTCTCCCTTCCTCCATAGTGTAATCTCCTATGATGATAAATAAATAACACATGTTCCAAACAATTAATGATTATTTCACCATTGCTAGGGAAACAAGTATGAATCCTTAAAGGGGTGGTAAAATGCCATTTTCACAAGATGTAAAATAAATCTCTGATGTCCCCAGAGTGTGTGTGTGTGTGTGAGGTTTTAGCACGAAATACCCCACAGATATTTTTATATAGCATGTTAAAGTTGTCGCTTTTAAAGGGTTTGCAAAAGCACTGTTTTGTGCCTGGCCCTTTAAATGCAAATGAGCTGCTCCAAAGGGCGGGTGTGTGTTACCAGCTGCGATTACGCAGACACATTAGAATGACAGAAAAAACTGTTCTCCCTTTAATGTTAAAACGGAATTAGTCAAAGGAGACTCCTGTAGAATAAAACAGGACGTCTCTGAATAGTTAGTTGATGCATTTTTGTTCCTGATGTGGAGTTAACTATCTTCAATTAGCATATTGTCATGGTAATCTATAAATCACTCTTATATGAACTGTTGTGAGATAAACACTTTCTATTGCATGTGAAAAAATGGATGCTAAAGTTTGAGCTGATTCACAAATGTACTCTTATACAACTCTTCCTCTTCTCAACATGGAGTGTTCCCGGGGGCGGGGTTTATGTACATTTTAGGGTTGGTGATGTCACCCGCGTGTAGTCCCTACCAGCCATTTGTTGTAGTCCTTTTCTTTAAAAGCAAATATCTTCTTTGCTTTGAACTTTGAGCGTTTTAACTAAAGTTAGAAAAGTGAAATCGTACTTTACCACCCCTTTAAACACAAAATGCATAACTAATTGTTTTACATATTTAGTTCCCTATTTTTCATTTTTTTTAACACCAACCTGTTGTTTGAAGTAACGTCGCTCTTCTTCATCAATGAGTACGAGATTCAGGTAATAACGAACAGAGAATTTCTTATTAATGTCCCTCATGGTGGGCGTCATCTCGTACCCAGCCAGAAAAAGACGGATGGGGATGGATTCACCTAAAGCATTAAAGACAAAATACAAATGAGTGTAAATGCCCCCTACTGGTGATTGGTTACAAGTGTGTTGTGGTGCTCAGTTTGATCCACTTTCAGAAATATGGAGATTTTTTTAACCTTTATAGGCTTTTATTAACCCCTTGGAGTGGTATGGATTACTTTTTTTGATGGGTGAATGGTCTTTTTGGAGCTTCAAAAGCTTGGCCACTATTCAATGCCATTACAAAACTGGGAAGAGCCAGGATATTATTTAATATAACTCTGATTGTGTTCGACTGAAGAAAGTCATATACACATAGGATAGCAAATAAAAATGTGTGTGATCTATTAATTGTTTCATACCTCGGACAGGTGCTCCATCCATAATCTCGTATTTTGCAATGGTGTCATTTTCATGGTACACATTTGGCCCTGTCCCTGTTGTCTCCCGTTTAATAATATCAATTTCCATGTGTTTGATCTTAATTCGCACCAATAGGAAATAGATCTTCCCCACAATCACATCTTTGAGATGATACCTGCCATTTTCAAGATTTTTAGGAGGGGAAGAAACAGGGGGAAATGCAAAACAATGTATCAGTAAGTGAAAAATATGAATTTTATTGAACTATTTTAACATTTACAAATCATCTAAGACATAAAAACACCTCATCCTCTGGCTGTTTTTCAGACTTACTTCGACTTGTTGTACTCAAACTCAATGTGTAGACAGTCCTCAATTCCCACTTCCATCTTTATGGAGGAGTTGAGTTCTGGATACGTACTGAGCGTGTGCACTACGATGTCCATCTCTTTGCAGATGTCATTCAGTCTCCTGCTGATGGTTGCCCGCAGGAAATAGCTGAGGGAAAAAATTAGAGTTCATTACTCTAATTATATATATATATGATTTGATGTTAAGTCTATCAAATAAATGTACAACATATTGTTGTGTGAGCTCATATACACAATCTTTACTGAACTACACAATGATAGGAACACATACCGTAGTTTTACATTCTGGCCCGTGTAGGACTCGTACGGTTTCTCCACATGTGTGAACTCAAAATCAAAGGTCTGAGATTGAGCCATTTCTCCAGGCCGAGCTAAATCCTTTACCAGAGAGACAAACTCATGATGGTTTCCTCTGTCATAGTACAATTCTACAAAGAAAATTAACAAGACACCAGAGAGAAAATGTGATAATAAATTAGCATATTTTGTTTGTGTACTCTGTTTTATTCTCAAACAATTCTTTAATGGTTTGAGTTAGGTTTGGAACAACATGAGGCCGGTGAATTAACCCTTTAAAATACAACAAAAATAAGGATGTATAAATATCAGGGAAAACATTTGACATTTTCTATACATCCAGGTAACTTAACATTTCTTTCTTCAAGGGTATACTGCATGGCTTTAAAAATAGTGTTAACTTAGAACAATGAGTAACTTAGAACAAGAACAGTTTAGGGAAACTGTTCATTACTGAATATAAAAAACAGGATCTATTGCTTGTGGCAAGCATCCAGAGGTGTGGTTTCTATACCGCCTTTTTTACTAGAGATAGGAAGTTGACTCACTTCGGAGAATCGGTTCTTTTGAACAGATCACATTCAAAGAACAGGCTAAAAAATTCAATTATTATTTTATGAGTAGCACATTTTGGTGCTCAAAATGGGTTTTAATTATAAGGGTGTTTATTTATTTTGCATGTAGCGAAATTCCCATTTCAATTTGTTGTATGCATGATTCAGCTAATATTGTGGTATTTATTTAGAACCTAAAATTTGCAAATACATTAAATAAAACTATATTTTATTTACTTTTCATAGCTGAAAAGTGTTAATACTATTTTTTTAACTATATTTATTTGTAACATTTATGTTTATTGACTATTAAAAATATATTCACCTCAACGGTTCTCGATAATTACGGAAAATTACTAAACAGGACGGATCAACAGGTCGGTGAGGAACGAGTTATTGGATGAGTGCAGAATAGGATACTAGTGTTTAATCTTTTCCTTTAGAAAAAAAGATATCGAGGAGCGATCTCAGAAGGATTCGATCCGAATCGTGTAGGAATCATTAAGACCTGTTTAGTGAACCGGTTCGTTCGATTCATTGAAAATATTCAACTCGAAAGAACGATTCGATCATCGTTAATATGTCATTTGTCACGAGACAAGGTTTTTGTAATTTGACACTTCAGCATTTCTAATGCTTCAGTCTGAGTCCGCTTTATGAAATTTACATGAAAAAAATAAATAAATAAAAAATACAAAAATAAGCACACAAACACAGATGTACATGTTGTATTGAGCGGTAACATTACAGCACATTCGTTACGTCATGAAGCATCGCTCGTTCATATTACGTTGCACTTACCGATTTGCCCGATAAATTCTATTTTGATCCCTTGATGCTCGAGCCTCTTCCCTGGATTTTTCAGGGTTACATTGACTTTCCCAGAGACTGTCTCCCCGTCGTAAAACAGAAAGTATTTGTCCTTTTTCCCGTCCTCTGTTTTGTGCTCGGCCTTTTTTCTCGTCTCGGCATCATTTAAAACCACGTCAATTTCAGCACTTTGTCCGAAACTGAAGAAGCTCATCCCGACACCTTGTGCTGGACTGAAATCCTTTCGTATTCTAACACCTGGTCCAATTCCACATCAATACAATTGCGTCCTCTTTACAAGCTGCTTTATCTTCTGCAATGCATGTATGTTTATAATATATTGTTTAAGATTCAATTTGGCTAACTCTTCATATGGCTCCTGTTTTACTACCTGCGGAGGATTTTCAGCAATGTACAAACAGACACAAGCTTCAGAAATGATTTTACTTCCGGGATAGTCCACGTAAATATTTTTTTTTTTTTTCAAAATAAAGGTCTTATAGAGACTATTGAAATCAAATGTAACATATCGAATTGAATTTATCAAAGGGCAATTGTACGACTGATTAATTGTATTGGGGATTTAAATGCTTTTAGTTTTTTGTATTATAATTTTGTGCACACAAAATGTTATTTAATAACTTAGTTTATATTTAAAACTTAGTGTACTGCAATGTAGTTAATGTCTCCCTCTAGTGAGTAACTTTTATAGGCTCTGCATTAGCACCGGTTACACACACACACATACAGTATTTGACTTTGTCACATGAATGCTTCGTTGAAAACATAAAGTATCTTAGTACAAATATAGGAAGTCCAACAAGATTAAGGCGAATAAGTGCCAAATGGTTTATAAATCTCACTGCACTCTGCCTTTTAAATCTTGATGAAAGGACCGCTTTCAAAGCCTATTAACAAAATATATTAAACTGGCGATTTTTTAATATCATAAAAATAAAAAAAGTGAATGGAAAGCTAAACTGTGGTCAAATTCTTTCATGGCAGTCAATCCTCCGTAAATCCTGTTCAACTGAAATTTAGGGAAAGCCTAATCCAATAATTAAATAATCCTATACTGACTAGAATCTTTTTCAGTTTCACTAACAACTATATCATTCCAATATCTATTCAGTTAGTTACTACTTATTTATTTGATTGGCTAGTACTTATTCCTTTGCAGATAATGACAAGTATCTATCCCATTGTTACTGGCAATGAGTTGCTCATTGTTTGCCACTGAATCATATGGGGATCTGTTGCTCAGATATTAACTATTCACTATGTTTCTATTAACAACTTTTATATGGAATGGATACATAATAACTAACTAGTAACTAAAAATAAGTACATCTGTGCTATTATAGCCTAGTGCAATTGAAAATAGATACTCAATAACTCTTAATAAGAGTAACATTACATAGATAGTACTTTGAAGAAACAGTCTGCCATGGGGATCAACTGGAGTAGCGTGGGTTATGCAAACGTAATCTCTGTTTACCTTTTGAATACGCGCTTGTGATTGGCTGACGCGGCTCTCACTCCCGCTGTGGGCGTGGCTATGTCACTCTACTCTAAAACCCTGAAAGCTCTTCATAACAGTCATTTCATTTAAACCCGCGCTAGGCATGGTACGATTCACACATCGCTTGTTATACACTGCTGTCAGACATAGGGCTTCATTGTCAGTCAGATGTGATCATGTGCGATTGTTAGTGTAAGCAAACTAGACGAAATCTTCACTGCACTTATCCTCTGTTTAAAGACAGTCAGCTGACTTGGCTTTGATTTTGGGATGGCAGAAGCGCAGCAACAGCTGGTTGACATCGACCCGGATTTCGAGCCTCTCTCCCGTCCGCGCTCATGCACCTGGCCGCTGCACCGACCGGAATTCAGCGAGCCGGGGAGCTCGAACACGTCCTCCCCGGCACCGTCCGTCAAGCAGGAGCAAGGTATCGTGGACTTTATTAACAGCCTAAGTTTACTAGAAGAGACCGAGGACTACCAGGAGGAGAAACCCGTCCTTTTGAACGACTTCCACTGCCAGGACACCTGCGTTCATCCCCAGCAACAGCATCCCCAGCAGCCGAATCCCCAGCTGACGCACCCGCAACAGGTGCCGCCGCTCCCCGCCCCTGCCAGCAGCTCCAGCCCTGCAGCGGCCCAGAGGAAGAGCAGCTCGTCTCGTAGGAACGCGTGGGGGAATATGTCATACGCTGATCTCATCACCAAGGCGATCGAGAGCTCCCCCGAGAAGCGGCTCACCCTGTCTCAGATCTACGAGTGGATGGTGAAGAGCGTGCCTTACTTCAAAGATAAGGGCGACAGCAACAGCTCAGCCGGCTGGAAGGTAATGGCTCACCGAGGCCAAGCAGAAACGTGATTAAAAGTAGCATTGGTAGCACAGAATACTTCATAAGATTTAAACATACACTCGCATCTATAAAACTATTTTGCAGACCCTTTCATGTGAGGTGTCCAGTAAAGTATTTCATTTTTTCGAAGCATCACTTTTGGTGTGTTTCAAAGTAATTGTAGGGGTTCGATTATTGTTTATCATTTAATGTAAAAATCTAACAAGAACTATTATTTATTCATATTTTTTGGAAGTGTATTTCAGCTGACTTATGCAATTGTTTTTACCTTAAATATATTTTTTTTTTGACAGAGGTCCTGGGTGGGCCTAACCGAAATAACCCTTGCAACCACCCACAACTGTTTTGCCCGCCTTGTATTTTAGAGGCTTTGTTTAGTGAATTTAATTCAGTTAAATCTTTTTGACTTGACTGATGGTTTTTTTTTTGACTAGCTAATTAAGGTGTTACCACATGATACCCATGTTTAGATAACTTTTTTCAAATGTTTGCCCCTAAAAAAATGTTCAGTGTAGTATATGACAGTAGCAATTAGCCCTCAAATGCGTAGTTGTGGATTCCCCCTTTAGAGCAAATAAATGACATGCGGTTTGTTGTGGAATGTGAGGCTCGAAAGAGCTCGCAGTGTTCAGAAGAATGCATAACATCTCAGTATCAGCTGTACACGATGCCAGTTCAGTTAAATCATTGTTTAATTTCCTTGACCGAAAAGCTTGTGGTTTGTCTATCTGCTGTCAACCTGACGTACATAGAGGATTAAATGATGAATCTTACAAATTGCGCATGCTCATGTAAAAACAAAAACAAAAAAAATCACCCTCATGTCGTTCCAAACTCCGTTTCTGTTGTTTCTGTGAAACACAAATATAGAACATTTGTTTTTCTTGCTGGTACTGAAGCTTACAAGCTTAAAAAAAGTAGCATAAACACGCAAAGAGTGACCATTAAAGTATTTAAAGTGCATACTTTTTGTGAGTAAATTTTGCGAGTCCCTTTAATTTTGTAAATTATCTTGTAATGTGAGGGACTGTGGTCATTTTCATCGGCTCTACTAGTCATGTGACCTATTGTAGTAGGCTAGCACTCATGCAGAGGTATATAGTAAGTTTGGTGATATCACAGTTTTAAAGCTTCTCTTTAAGGTGCCTGATGACTGTTTTGAGTCCAAGAGGGCTGCCATGAGTGAGCTGGAGCAAACAGAGAGTGGTTTCAGTGTTGAAAGAGTCTTTGTCAACCTCATTTATCTCTAGAGTACTTGTTCCTGTCTCTGATTCACCCCTCCTTACAAGCCACTTTTGTTTCTTTACTTGTTCTGTGCGTAAATGGAAATACAAATCCTTACCGTCACACATGTCAGGGCCTCCTCCCATCACTGAGCTAAAAATACCGGCAGGATTACCTGTCATTACAGGGAGACACAATTACCTGAAAGGTGTGGTCCGCCCCCCTCCTCACCGCCATTGGCTCTACACGCCACGGCAAAACATTGTCTGGGCTCATCCACCTGTGACATCATAGTTTCAGCATTCCAGTCACTCATTGGATGTTTGTACTGTTAGACTGTTCTTTATCATCATAGTGTGTGCATACCTGAGACTGGAAACGTTTTGTGCTTCCTCTCCCAGTAGATTCGGTCCCATTAACGTAGTAAAACCTGAACACCAAAATAAGGGGTTTGATGTTGCTGTAGTTTTATTACTCTGTTATGTGATTATACATTTTTCATGGCCCAGTCAGGACATTAGTTTAGATATGTATGGAAGCTTATTTCCACCACAGAATAAAACGTTTTAAAAGATAACTGCGACTTTTTATCTCACAATTGCGAGTTTACATCTTGTGACTTTATTTCTCAGAATTGCGTGATAAAAAGTCGCAATTGCGAGATTCTAAACTCACAATTGCGAGAAATAAATGTTCAATTCTGACTTTTTTCTCAGAATTGCTTGTTTATATCTTACAATTCGGACTTTAATACACAATTGTGAGATGTAAAGTCAGAATTGAACGATATAAAGTCGCAATTGTGTGTTATAGGCAGACTCAGAACTGTGAGATATACACTCGCAATTGCAAGAAAAAAAGACAGAATTGAAAGTTTATATATCGCAGTTCTGAGAAATAAAGTCAGAATTGAAAATTTATATCTCACAGTTCTGAGAAATAAAGTCAGAATTGTGAGATGAGTTTATTTCTCGCAATTGCAAGTTTACATCTTGCGACTTTATTTCTCAGAATTGCGTGATAAAAAGTCGCAATTGCGAGATTCTAAACTCACAATTGCGAGAAATAAACGTTCAATTCTGAATTTTTTCTCAGAATTGCATGTTTATATCTTGCAATTCAGACTTTATTACACACATTTGTTAGATGTAAAGTCATTGAATGATGTAAAGTCGCAATTGTGTGTTATAGGCAGACTCAGAAGTGTGAGATATAAACTCGCAATTGCAAGCGAAAAAGTCAGAATTGAAAGTTTATATCTCGCAGTTCTGAGAAATAAAGTCAGAATTGCGAGATGGGTTAATTTCGTGCAATTGCAAGTTTATATCAAAATTCTGACTTTATTTTTCAAAATTGCGTGATATAAAGTCGCAATTGTAAAAATAAAGGTTCAATGCAATTTTTCCGATTTTTTTCTCAGAATTGCATGTTTATATCTTACAATTCGGGGATTTCTGACTTTATTACACGGAATTGTGAGATGTAAAGTCAAAATTGAACGATATAAAGTCGCAATTGTGTGTTATAGGCAGACTCAGAACTGTGAGATATACACTCGCAATTGCAAGAAAAAAAGTCAGAATTGAAAATTTATATATCGCAGTTCTGAGAAATAAAGTCAGAATTGAAAATTTATATCTCACAGTTCTGAGAAATAAAGTCAGAATTGTGAGATGAGTTTATTTCTCGCAATTGCAAGTTTACATCTTGCGACTTTATTTCTCAGAATTGCGTGATAAAAAGTCGCAATTGCGAGATTCTAAACTCACAATTGCGAGAAATAAACGTTCAATTCTGAATTTTTTCTCAGAATTGCATGTTTATATCTTGCAATTCAGACTTTATTACACACATTTGTTAGATGTAAAGTCATTGAATGATGTAAAGTCGCAATTGTGTGTTATAGGCAGACTCAGAAGTGTGAGATATAAACTCGCAATTGCAAGCGAAAAAGTCAGAATTGAAAGTTTATATCTCGCAGTTCTGAGAAATAAAGTCAGAATTGCGAGATGGGTTAATTTCGTGCAATTGCAAGTTTATATCAAAATTCTGACTTTATTTTTCAAAATTGCGTGATATAAAGTCGCAATTGTAAAAATAAAGGTTCAATGCAATTTTTCCGATTTTTTTTCTCAGAATTGCATGTTTATATCTTACAATTCGGGGATTTCTGACTTTATTACACGGAATTGTGAGATGTAAAGTCAAAATTGAACGATATAAAGTCGCAATTTTGTGTTATAGGCAGACTCATAATTGTGAGATATAAATTCGCAATTGCAAGAAAAAAAGTCAGAATTGAAAGTTTATATCTCGCAGTTCTGAGAAATAAAGTCAGAATTGCGAGATATCTCACATTTCTGACTTTTTAACATGAAAGAAAAATCACGATATCAATGCAATGCAATCAAAAATCAACGATTACCTTTTTTATTCTGTGGTGGAAACAAGCTTCCATCAAGCATCCACAGATGCTTGTCAGACAAATTATTCTTGCAATTGGGATAAAATGTTATCTCTGTTTGTCAGTTGGATACATTTACCATGTTGACATATTTAAATCAGAATCATTTGCAACAAATTTGAAAGACATTAAAGCTGCATCAATGTAAATGCATATTGACAAACATAAGCTAGAACTGTATGCAAACTGATCTCTTTTGTTCAGTATTTTTTAGTTCAAGCCATGAATTTGAATGTAAAAGATAAATCAAGGAGACTGAAGTGAAAATGCTCCCCTGCAGTTCAAATGTCTCGGGGTTCAAAGGTTAAAGTTTAAAGGTCAGTCCACCAAATTTGTGGAGCATGTCATGGGAGTCCATGTTCATACCGTCAAAGTCAAAGTGAAATAATGAGAATAGTATTCAGACTCATTTTATGAGGTTCTGGCACACAGTAGCCTACAGTACGCTGTTTCTTAACTCTCTTGTGTCTTTAAATATGCATGCCATTGTTTTAAACGGCTGAAGTAGTCAAATACACACGCACATACAGGTAGAATTCAATGTGGGTCAGTTTTCCATCTCCCAAGTGCCCTCATAACCACCATTACTTTAAAAATGGCATGCATTTTCTATTTCGCAGCCCTGCACCCACAGCTAGAGATATATTCATGTGTCTGTGGTGTAGTGATACTATCTTGTGTGAAGGCCTACTGTAGCTCGTCTTTTTGTAATTGAAAACACGCTTTACCATTCATATCATTTTCTTTCACGTGTCATTTTTTACCATTTAATTCCATTCATAACGCCATTAACAGCTCTCTAAGAGTTTCTCTTCCGAATTAATAAATGAACTCGTGTGGTTTTCATTAAGTTATTTTAGAAAAAAACATGCTTTCTCACTTCCCCCTTTTTCTCATGCTTTTAAAAATGTTTAACTCTGAGCCCTATTTACAGCACACGAACCCAGTTACCTCTAACATCCTTTGAAGTTTACCGTAGGTCTTTCACCTTTCCCACTAACACACACACACACACACGCATGCACAAACATGCAAGCCATTTCAAGGCATACACAATATTTGTTCAAGCTTATCTTGAGCAGATACTAATTTCTATTCTCATTTGTCAGTAAGTTTCGGCTTACTAGCCACTGATTCTCCAAAACAAGTCACTTTTGACCTGTTTGTGGATTGGAAGCTAGTTTTATAATCCAAATTCAATAATTTTACATATCAGTTCTACAGTTTGTGAAACTCTGGGACACATTCTTAGAATTGATCTGATAGATAAATGTCAGTACTTGCAGG